ATCAAATATATAGTTATGGCAGGATAGTGAGTGGAAGAACAATTTGTCTGAGCAGGCTTTCGTTCAATTGTATTTCCCCTATTGTCGCTTTTATGGCATTAAAATCATGATAGTAACTTTATTCATTAAGACATATTTTAAATGGTATGTAAAAGTAATATTTAAATACTTTACAAATATTTCATTTACTGTCTTAATGCCGTATATTTCTTTATAATTGTAAGGAAAGGGCTTTTAAAATTCCCTGAGTAAGAATAAATAAATTATACAATAAAATATTCTGCAATTTAAAGAATGAATCTATGCATTGATCATCTTCCAATTTGAATGAAACTGAAAGTGTCAACAACATTTCAGATTGTTTAGAGTTGTTAACATAAAAATGCTTGGCTTGTGATTTTAAAGCTCCGAAACTTATATAGCATGAACTGTTGTTTATGGGTATATAAACTTTCAGGAAGATTACATACCCAGAATCAAAATAGCAATTTCTATTGGAACATAGTGTTAAGATTGCTCGTTATGGAATGTGAGACTGGGTTGTTCATAGACCACCATTAAACCCTCATTAAATCCATTTTTTGGTTTGTACTCGCGTGGAGAAGATTTGACCTTTAATCCGGCACAGTCTGTTATTTGTTGTGTATCGGGTACTACCTAGATGTCCCTGAACTTCAGGTCAGGTAGAATTTACCCGTAAACAGCTAGCTTATCTCAGGCACCTGCTGTGATTATGCTAAATATAGACGGCGTTTTATTACTTTAGATCTATTTTTTATCTCTTCTTGTTTTTCACTTTCATAAAAATTGCCTTGTCACATTCTAATAAACCTTATAATAAAACCGAAATTAATCGCCCATGTCTTGACTGATAGTGAAAATAACCCCTGTAAACAAGTATCGTTTCATCTAATTGTTAGCTTCATGAGTTTGACAATGTAACAGAAAAAAAGACGTTAAGTATGTCTATATGCAAATTTTAAAGGGGGCCTCGGTTGAAAAAACTATCTTAGAGTTGTTTCGTAAGTAAAAACTTAACCTGTTTTAATAATATACTCTCGTAGATGATTACGTAGAAAAATCCTTTCCGTGCATTCAATGTCTAGGGATTATGTGAAATCAATTATCATTTGATCAATTCACCAAATGAATTAGGAAATTTTGTATGAAAAGTATAAAAACTGAAAAAGACATGGAAAGAAAAAAAGGAAATATGATACATTTGATAGTTGCGTACGACATTTTCTATGGCCAGTACTTTCGCCTTATACAGCCAACGATGCTTGTATAAAACATGTTTAATTGTAAATTATCGTACATATGCTTTGTCTACAATCCACACTCTGATTTAAAAGGGAAGCATGTTAGAAAAATCATCGTGTAATTCAACAAAGTGAGCACGGAAGCAGTCTGTCTTCCTGTCCTAGGTTATAAAAACATTGGGGTCCCTAGCATCACTGGCTAGCTTCCTGGTCCTAGGGAGTCGTAACAGCTGTACGATACAGTTTAATGCACCATTTGTCAAAATTCTAAATTCTAACTTCGTATCAAAAGCTGTTATTCAAGTAAAATTTTTTGAACAATTAAGAATTATGTTTCTGCTATTTCGTAAACAGTTATATCTTACATGGCATAAACATCATCCAGACTTGTCTTCCTTTCCCCGATACCATTTTAATGTAAAACCAACATCAATCTATTTTGCATTTGCAGTTCCAAATGAAATTCTGTAAGTACAATAAGTTTACAACCTTGGATAGATAGGTTTTATTACACTAGGATGAATATAAGTTCGTCTACATGCTTGTGTTACAGTACAGAAAACGTTTCACCCTTGTATTACAAAACAATGTGTCTATCTTTTTATATGTCCTTAACGTGTTGCTTTCATTCTTTATCATCCATGACTTTGGATACGGGTACCTGAGCATCTAGTCAACAACTTTAGCCATGTCGTGAAAGTTCGGTAAGGTTAGGTTAGTTCAGGTTACAGTAACATCCACATTTATAAATATAAAAGTACTATGACTATGATTCAATGACTTAAGTTTATTTCTTTATTTATGTCAGCTGACATTTATGAAGAATTACATTAATGAAAGTGAAAGTAGTCCACAAATTTTATTTTGTGAACTGATAAAAGCATAGTTAATATCAGGTTGTATTTTGGACTGAACTCGGGTTGTATTTCTGAAAATCGTGAGTTAACTACATGATGTGACATGTGACTTAAATAAAATCAGAATGCAGATATAAACTTAGATTAGATAAACATGAATTTATATCTTATCTAATGTAAAACATGTATCTGTCCTACTTCATTTTAAATTTTGACCCTACTCAACTAAGACTTCCGAGAAACCAAGGTATTCGTGGAAAGAGCTACCTGTACCTTGATATTCAGAACGGAAAGTACTCATTTAATTTACTTCCTCGATACATCGTATTGGTTAAATAGAAACAACTATTATGCATTCACACATTCACAAACATGAATGTCTTTTTGTGAAAATCACAGCTGCCAAATCGAAAATGACTTTTTTTCTGCATGCACAAAGGATTGTACAAAGGGCAGACATGTGAATACATATATACTTGGGGATAAATGTTTGAGTTACAGATTACAGAGACGTAGTTCTATTAACAGGAGATTACATCATAATATCATAATAGTCTGTTTTATCTTAAACTGGTCGTAGATATATGTACTTTTGTAAACATAATGATAATATGGATATTTCCTTGAATTGCCATTTAACTATATGCATTTGTTTCCAAACAATATGTGACAATATGTCCACACTGAACCATATGATATAGAGAGTGTAATGTATAAACCATTACAAAAAAATCATCTTACAGAGTAAATCTCAAATTTATATTACTATCATGAACTATTAATATATATCGAAAAGTATGTAAGTATTTCATATTTGTTCTCATGACCAATGGTTCTCATTTTGAAAACCTGACATTACTTTTTCCCGCTTTCATACCATTCTGGAGTCTTCGTATCTTTGATATGAGATGAGTGATGTCGAAAAAAAACCAAAACAAAAACGTTTTCCTTTATTTAATACATTGTCGTCAACTTCTTGTACTTTTTAAATTCATCTTGCCCTGTTACCGTTTTCAAATAATTCGCACTCGTTTTTTTCAATTTAGATTTGAATAACGATTTTGTTAAAACTTGGGTAATCTCTTGTTATTTTGGACTTTAGTACTATATTTTAAGGTTACGGTTTTTGTTATGTTTAATGAATGAGATGAATGTTGATGTATAACCATTCATATCTTTTTCTAACGAACATAGCGTTACAATCTTTATGAGAATCTCTTTATGCAATTTCATATTACAGCAGTTTAAACAACACTCTATGGTGTTTCAAATAAAGCAATGTTAATGAGAACAGAAGGTGTTGAATACCTTGACCTAGATCGGTAATAATTGCGATTCAAGGCCCCGTTCTTCCTACGGTGATATGGCTTTAAACTTGAACAATTACATCTGTAAAATACATCTGGTCTAGTGACCAAGACGATAAAGTTTAGTTAGTCTTGAGGACGACAAGAAACAGACCATCCATATTTTTTAGATTTTAAAATACTTTGTCAAGATATTTGGTCTTCTCAAATTCTCAAATTAAAAATTAGGAATCGTTTAGCCAAATTTTTAAAATATTTTAATTTTTTTTTCTGTTTGCCAACATACTGAAATAGCTATGAATAATTGTCTGGTATTTAGTTAATGTTTCTTGCAGTGTTGTAAAGAAATCAGCATTCCGATATATCTACCTAAACGCACCTCTAATTGTTATGCCTGCTGATCGTTATCACAGCCTTGTAATGTACATACAAATATGCAAACCATTGTTTTACTGTGTCTGTCTTCGAATATACAGCACGTGTTTTAAACGCTTGTTCCGTAGACTTGGCATCATGCCGTAATGTATTAAAGTTTGGAATGCAATTAGGGAATAATAATTCCGCTCATCAAATAGTTGAACAAAAACCATCATTGTCTTTCTTGGCTATGTATTGTATCTTCTTGTAACATGTAATCATTTAATCAATTTAGTGAAGAAATGCATAAGATACAACCCAGACTTTGTCTAGTTTGAATTTGATAATTCCTTTGTTTTTTTCACCTAAAATATTTTGTTTTTCTTTGATGTTCGCAATGACATGCTTTGTTCTTCTTAATTTCATAAACATTGAATTTATCAAGTGAAAAGTTAAGACATTCCTTTTGGCTCCTGAGTAATTGTTTTGGAACATTACACGAAGACCGTGTTTCGGTCCGATACTCTTAACAGAATAAATATCATAAAAGAAAATAAATTTTAAAATTGGATCTACGGACATCTATTTATCATATGTAATATAGAAATGACACAAACAGATATTTTGAATAATTCTCATTTTCTTTATTCAATGCTGTTTGAAGTTTTCATGACAGCTACAATTTCTCCACAACATTTGTAAGACACTTTGTATTATAACCGATACACTACCTGAAGTCAATACTAATGTTGTAATACAAGATATTCTATCTCTCAGACGGCTTAATATGCAAGTGCTAGTCCTTGATATGTCTTTATGCATTGTGAATAGAGTCACGGTCGATAGCAAAGCACAATGTCTGAGAGTTCATCTTCACATTTAATTATTGTTGACGTCGCTTTTCAGGTGACACTTATCATATACAACAGTGCAGAACGCTGGTAACACCCATCATTACGTAGCAGAAAAAAAGTAATGCTTTATGAACCCGTTCCGGGTGAAGTACATAAAAGCGCGTGTGTTGTCTGGCTACCACCACACCCTTCTTTGGGGGCCATAAGACCTTAACTTTGCAGCGGGATATGTCCATTGCTAGTTCAGTCGGGTCAGATTGACCAGTGCAGTATGAGAACTGCCACAAGAGCGTGTGATAATCTTGTTGTTAATGATCACAGGGGATCATTTGAGTGAAGTCCAGTTACTTTGAACAGTTTTTTTCACCTGTTGAACACCCGTTTCATGATGTTACACTTCTTCTTGTTGTAACGAAGAGATGACTGGATGACAGATTTAAACACAGTGGAGACTCCTTCTTTAGCCATGGCAGAGCTCTCAATGAACCCATCGGCTTTGATGTGTTTGGCTAGAACTTCTCCTTCCTTCGTACTAACATGTTGAGACTTTGTATCCTTGCGGAGGTCAGTCTGGGTAGCCACAAGGATAACCGGACGTTTCTTAGCGATGTTACGGATTTCGGGGGCCCAGAAGTCTCGTACACTGTCCAATGAGTCCCTGTCAACCACGCTGTAGCATATCACAAAGACATCTGTTTGTTTGTATGCACTGGTAGCTAGGTCGTCATGCTGAAATATAAGAAATCCAAGTTATTAAACTTGTCAACATATTTCAATAAGTGCTAATTATAATTGAAATATAGAAACCTAGTAGTATTTATATAGCTAACATATAAGGACTAATGATAAAGCTAAATAAACATGTTAAAATTATGACTTCTTCTCCTTTATCTTAATATGTAAATAATGATATTACTTATCAATCAACATATGTAAATGTATACATATATATTGAAAATCGAAGCTTACCTCTCCAGCCATGTCAGTGAGAGTGATTCCGTACTTGTTTCCATCAACATAGGTGGTACCACTGTATGTGTCCATTACAGTGGCCACATAATTGACCGGAAATGTCCGGTCAGCAAAGGAGCGTGCGAGACATGTCTTTCCAACCATTCCGTCTCCTACTAGAGTACAATGGACACCGGATTCGTATACAGACATCACCATTTTGACGATAGAGATAAAGGTGTGTTACTGGGAAGTACTAGTTGTAATATCCTGTATGTATGACAAGGTAGTCTGTCGTGTTCTGTTTCTAAACTTATCCCTCGATGCTTTTATACCCTCGTATGAGGACACCACTAGCCAATCAAATGACAACACTATACACTGTGTGAATTTGACTATGTCATGCCCCGTTACGTAGTGTTTCCTTGTACCTAACGAGTGTTCGTGTCGGTATACTCACCTGTGAAACGTGTGGTCGGGGCTATCAAACCAGGTGTATACACAAAACCTAGTGCATGTATAGAGTGTATCATGTAACACTAACTTGAACCCTCTGATACCATGGACAACTACAATAAGTACCATTAATTATTACATGGAATTACGTAGGCATGATAAACAAATCAACAAATTTTGGGTGTTTTGTTTACGTTCAAATGGATGTCAACAAATTTGTGGCCAACCTAAAAGGAGAATATCGAAATAAAGAAAAAAATACGGAGTGATGTGATAAATGATTACTGACACGTACGTAGTATCAGATATATTCTTATTGTGCTAAATGTTTGTACATTCTCAGTGCTCAGAATGTATGCTTTAACATCTCCATCCTAAATAACTGTTTACTACATATATGTCGATATTCTTAGCCAACAAGATATATAGTAGAATAGAAATTCTTATAACACAACATCTCTCTTGTTATTTTGGAACACTTTCTTCAGGTTGATAATGTCAATAGAACAGAAATTCTTATAACGTAAACAGTAGAAGACTTGAGTGTGTGTGACGTTTCGATGACTACAAGGTCACCTTAATCAGACAAATGACCAGTGTGGAGCGTACTAGCACTAGCGTACGTAGTGTAGGAGATGGTAATAGACAAACTTTTGCGGCTGTGTATCTTATGGTCTATAATCTGTTTACCATATTATCAAACAAAAAGTTGGTAGATTCCTGATACGGAACTTGCCTTATACAATATCATACACATCTATATATTCTTTTATAAATGTCGGTCATCTTATATGGGTATAAAACGAAATGAAAATTCTTAATCATAATCTCACCTCAAATCTAATAAAACTAGGGCAAAACATGAACAAAAGAAAGATTTATTGGAGACAAAAAAGCACAAGGAAAACAAGATCATGTGGTTCAGAAAAGTAAGCGTCTTCTGCTTCGTTGACGACATTCGTCATGTAAAGTAGGAAATGTCACGTTCTCAAGTGAGAACAAGGTATACAACAACGCAACCAACTGGCAAACTAACGAGCATCAAACACGTCCAACTTCATATCGGTCACAGAAATAGAATATTTCTTGAGTTAAAGGAAGAGTACGTGCAATAGAAGGTCAAGCCCGCAAAAGTGAAGAAAAGCAACAAGGAATAACTGGTATCGCAAAGTACAAGTCAAACGCAAATTTGGTAAAAATATACCAGCCGATTATGACTTGCTTAATTTTACCACTCAAATCATCAAAAAATGTTTGTTTCCTCTTTTATTATCATTATCAGTGTATTTTGTTAATAAACTGAGCGAATACTTTATATTGTATAGGATAACTGATTTGAAAGAGAACTAAATTGCATCTTTTTATATTTTAAGACATGTTTCATATCTAAAAACTGTCTTAGTAATTACATTTACATGCACTTCTAAAGTTTTTCCCCTAGTAATTACACGTGCAAAGATTTTCTATCTTTAATCTAAATGAGACTGAACTTTTTTTTCCAAACTCACGTAGGATATAGATATGCTGAGTGTGAATTAGTTTTCGTCCAAAGAATGGATAGTCAACTTGAACATAGTGCCTCTATATATATGTTGCTTTCATATAGAGAAGTGGAAATACCATTAATAAAAAATGTCTTTCGAATGTCAATGATATATACAATACTAGCGAAAATCAAAATATTAAAATATGTATCCTTTAAAATATGATTTAAATACATGCATGGTTGAAACAATCAGAACTGTCCCATAAAGGTACTAAAATCTGTTCAAATAATTTAATTTACATCTCCATTTTGAAAATTCTTTATCTTAGTTTGCCAAGAGAGCCTATCAATTATATATTAGTTTCAAGTCGTAATAGCAATCATTGCATAAGCATTTGGTACTTATATTTTTATATAAACATAGGAGCCATGATTTCTTTCATATCACATCAAGGACATTGGTTGCCGCTCACGACTTGGCTTTAAAGGATTATATGTGTGATTAAGTAACATGGAATTTCTGCCTACAGGTCACGAGCAAACTATATGACCACACACAAAGGGTGTTTGGGTCTAACGGGCTGGAAGCAAGATTAAATAAACAAACTATTTTGTATGTGGTTTGGGTTGTTGACCTTGAAATACAATAATTCAAGTAACAAATGTTAAAATTTTGCCTTGTCACCATCGTCTAACATTTGATCATCTGGATGAAGTTTTGAGTGTCCAGGAAGCATGCTTGTTGTTTTCTTGTTTTGTTGTTTATTGAAAATACTTTGTTTTGAGTAAAAGAATGTATCTCATCACGGCCTGTTTTCTGGCAAACTATGTTTACTTTATTTACCTATTGTTTCAGTTGAGGACGAAACATTTACAATTTTAAAAAAATAAACATTATTTAATAATTTAACCATGATAAATTTTAATTAATCGCAATGAAAATTTAATTATGCGTCATGTCTTATACATATAATTGTTTAGACAATATAGACTGTACAATGCACACCGTGACACAGGAAATGTGTCATCTTTTCACATCTATACATATTCATAAATGATAAAAATGTACTAAAAACAAACTTAAGCAAAAATATATACTTTTCAGTATATATCAAGCACAAACAATCGTGTATTGCATTTTTGCGACCTTGTGCTATTTTAGCAATTAGCACAATTCGTTTTTGCATAAACAAATTAATAAACATAATTAGATATTTATGACGGACTCCCGATTTCACGATTTTGTTATGTTTTGACATCAGGTAAATGCATGAGTGTATGCTAAATCATATCGTGTCTAATTTGTATTTCTTAGGACACACCCGACAATACAGTGACCCCAAAAGACACATGTCAGTAGAACATTTCATAAATAGAATAATTTTCGCAAAATAGACATCCGTAACAAAAACACATAATTCAGAAAAAGAAAAAAGAAACAAAATAAAAAGAAGAAAGTAAGTTAATTAATTCATTAAAAACAACAATAGACAATAAATATGTATAAATCAAAATATGAGGGGAAGATAAATGAGAATATGTTTTTGGGCGTCTTGCGTCTTTCAAGGGGAACGAATCGATGATATTGAGCAGTTATGAAAAAAATGTATCTCTTGGGTAATGTGTTTCTGAAGGTAAGATACTGCTTTGTGTAGAATATAAAAAATATAAATATTGTGATCATTCCTTTGCGAGACGTTTTCCTGTGTGTATCATGTAAAAGCTGGTTAGTTTTAGTTATGATATTGTTCAGATTGTAATTATCTCAGTCTGGTTGGTGACACTTAAGCTTTTAGTTACATTTTTTATGTTTGTTACTTTCGTTCTTAAGAACTCATGGATGTGTATCAGAGATTGTTATCTATTTCATTTTTATCAAGGCCGTTGGGCGTAGTAAATGATTCTAAAATTATACTCTATCGTGTGAAAAGGTGGAGACATGCTGGTTTTTCCTGATGTGAATATTTGCTACTGACTTATACCCTAAGGTCCAGCACAATTGTTGAACGAGGGAAAACCTATGACATTTCAATACACTTTTGGAATGTGTAATTAAGTTTTAACATTGAAAATTTTAGTCGATTTTGCTGTACCTACGTCAAAACGAAAATTAATGTGAAGCATGAAAAAACCCGCAAAACAACTGTCTGGATGATAAATATTGTCTTACATGAATCCGAAAGAGTTGCCATTATGGAATAGACACAATGTATTAACCATAAAATTATAATAAATTGATGAATGTTATCCTAGCAAGCATTTTGTCTGTCAGACTTTGTGGAGGTCAGTGTGTTAATTTTGTCTTCCATACATTAAAAATGATAAACCTTCAACGCTTTCATGACCTAGTAACACAATTATAATACAAAATGTATCACTAATGATGGAAGTCGTTTACACAGTAATAAATGTCATTGATCACATGATATCATGATTAATCAAACGTACTGTTAACATACACTTAATGGACATTGTACATCATGAAGCATGACTTAGTTATAAGTCAATTAAAAACAATAAAAAAAATCAAAAACCAACAAACATAAAGAGAAGAAAAATATAAGAAAACGCAAATAATTTTGAGGATAAGTATGAAGTGCAACAAAAATTAATCCTATTTTGTCAATTTTTCAAAAGTGCTGTCAAGGAAAATGTTTTAGTGCATGCTGACAGGCTAACACAATTTTAAATTGTAATTCAAATTCATAACCAGCGAAACAATGTGAACAGAGAAAAGACTCAGACCCTTGGAAAAACAGAAAACATTTTACAGAGATACAACAAGGCATTTCATTTACTATAATAGAGGGACAGTGATATGCAAAGATAAAGAAAACGTTTGGTGGGGTTGAACAAATACTGGTTCAGAGCATCAGAAGTCTGCCATGGAGTCAGATAAAAATAGGAGAAAAGATAACACGATGTGTGGGGCTTGTTTATTATCATAATGACAGATACGCCGATAAGGTTGTCATTTTATTCAAATAGTATTAGATTCTAGATGGCCAAGTCAAGAACATTCAATGTAAAGCATATGCAGGTACAACAATATTTCAGTTAGGAAATAAACAAATTTAACGATTGTTGAAGCAAATGGTGCTGTTCTCTTAGAACTCCTGGGATTTATTCCTTTAAATCATGCAATGTTATCCGAACAAAAAATACTTTCATATTTTGTTATCATCAAATCCATGTTTGTCTGGATTCTCTCCTGTTTTTGCTAGATAATTTGGGATACAGTTAAATGTCTCATGTTAGCTAACATATGGTGTTCATC